TCACAACTGGCTTTTATTGGGTGGTTTGAATCTTGCTATTAGTCTTTGGTCATTTGTGTAATGTAATTTAACCATTTGGCTAATTGGTTTCGAGTTCATTATTAATATAAATGTTTGTCTTCATTTTTTTATAGATTTTGCTTGACAGTATAAATGTTTGTCTACCTATATTAATAAAAATAAAGAAAGAATGGTTGCTCTAATAACGTCTCTAGCAGAAGTTCGACTATAGGAGCAAGAGTAAAATTAAAAAAAAAAAGTATTTTTTGTGATTCCCTTCCACCCTCGTAAACTATATTCCTTTTTCAAAGTCCCACATCCGCATTATGGTTCCTACCTTAAATAAGTTTAAATTCTAAGCAAATTAGGATATGTTCTTACCACCGACACAAACTAGCGATATAGAATTAAATCAGGAGCATTCACACTCTTCAGTGTTCTTTATTTTTTATTTTATTTGTTGATCTTGCATTCCTTCTGTCTTTTATTTTATACCTAGGAACATTGTGAATCGAAAGCTTTGTTCTACCATGAGAACTAGACATTTTATCCTCTTTAGAATATATTTTTTATGAGCACATGTTGCACTTATTTGGTTTTGAATTTACATGTTTTCATTTAATGAGTTTGGTATTAATTCTTTTGATTGACTGATGCATGAATTATAAGCTATATAATGAAGTTATAGGAGTGAGCAATGAGACATATAATTTGGAAAAAATTATGTTTATATCAAAAAGTTAATTTGGTTTCATGCTAGGTAGATTCATCGTGGAAGTAATTTTTTGTGTTAAGATAACAAAAAAAGTATAGAAAGTAGACGATCTTTATATGTTTTCTAGAAACAGCTTAAAACCAACTATTCATGACAAAGATGGATTTGGTAATAGCACAAAAATTGCTCTAAACGCCTAACAATTGCTCCAAGCACCACCTTCTTACCAAAAAGTAGTGTAACAAAAGCATTCGCATTCAAGCAAAAGGCAAGCATGAATGAAAGACTATCACCAACATATCAATAAAAATTAAGAAAAAAAAAAGGAGTGAAAGAGAGGAGCGAACAAGAAAATAGGATAAGATACATCAATCAATCAAAACTTTTTTATGCCTCGAGAAATAGTATAAAGGAAAATTTACATAAGAAAAACACAATGCTGCTCTAAAATAAAAAAGCATGTGATTTTGCATATGATTCGGATCGGAGAAGTGCAAAAGATAACTTGTTTCCTAATTTAATCAACAATCAATTTGAGCAAGGGCATGCATGTGAATTGTGAGGCCTATTTTTTGTAGCAACTACATTTATACTTTACACACTTCAACCAGACCTATTATGCCATTTCAGAATTTCCACAGGCCATGAATGTGCTTGAAAGGCTTCATCTACTACGAAAATAATAAATCAAATGCAAGAACCAGCACCATTAATATTAAGAACCTCAGTAATGACATTATGTAGCAGACAACACATTCTCACTACAACAATTATTTCCACGGCGATCTTTTTTGTCACATTGTATCCTTTATCAATCACCCCATAAATTATTTTTGCAACAAAGAATTTAATAAACTGATTATTAAGGATAGAGGCATTTTCCCTATCTAAATTCTTCCACCAATTATGTTCCAAGAAATCCAATCAGGATCAGCCTTATGTATCTTACATGCATTTCATGATCCGATGCATATATTCAAGTGGATATTCAAATACAATCATTCAATTCAAATGCGATAAAAATCAAAATAAAATATCATTCAATATAGATTCAAATTCAGATAAGTAAATATTTCAATTAAAGAAGATGCATAAAGGCATTTTCAATATAGGTATTACAGTGAATGTAGGTATAATCTGGTTATAACGAATGGTTGAGAATGATAATGATATTGACACGGACGGAAATGCCAAAATTTTGAAACGAATCATGGTTGTGTAATTTGGGTGAGTTGGTCATTTTGCACCTTTTGATAGTTAAAGGTAGAAAGAGAAAAGCAGAGATGAAAGGGGACAGAAAGATGGTTAGTGTCGTTGAAGAATCGAAATTCGAACGTGACGGAGATGAGAAATCCGTGTGCATTATGGGAAAAGAAAATTAGAAGTTGAACAGCCGGCGAGCTTTGAGCAATGAGCAGGAAACCCTAACGTTATGATGCTAAAAGAGATCTTTACGGGCTAAGAGGTCTGAAGAGAGTATTAACTTACGTAAATCCGAACGCGTCGGATGCTGCGTATTTTACTGCTTTATTGTTGCGTATTTCTTAATTCAGAAATTTCAGGAGATGCCATAAAGAGGAGAACCGCGAGTTGAGCGAAAAGATGCTGGAGGTGGATATGGAAATTTAATTAAAAAATACATTATTTCAGCAGATTAGAATTAATATACTAATTATTAATAATATATTCATCATAAAGATATATACTATAGATTAATAGTATTAAATTTATATTGAAATGAAATGATTGCAATTTTGTCAATATTTGTTCAGACAAGTTTTACGCTGGCTGTCGACTACCTAACGCAACCCTCCACTTTTCTCATCCAGGACTTGGGACCTGGCAACGGCTAGTGTTGGTGGTGGATCCATTGTGGCAAGAAAGATTAAAAATAAGAAGATTGTTATAAAAATTGCGTTTAATTTTAAAAATTCTGATAATTGGAAATCTATAATAAAGTGGCTCGTAAGGATCTAAAGAAAGCAATATGCGATGCAAGACATAGTATTTTTAGCGATTTAATATAATAGATTAAATACTAAGGAGGGAGAAAGATATAATGTATAAGTTAGCCAAACAAAGAGATTAGGAGTAGTAGGATTTTAGTTCAGTAAGTGTATAAGATGAGATCAAAAAAATACTTTTCTTAGAACGATGATATTCAAACAAAAGTGGATGAGATATTTTGCTAAAACTTTAATGAAGAGTGTGAAAATAAGATGACTATAGTGACCTTAGCACCCTAAATGAAAGAAAGATTTCTGTTTTTACGGCGTATTAGTAAAACTGAAGTTAGAGAAGGCTTTAAATAGGAATGAGGGTGGAAAAGCTGTTGACCTGATTGATATTCCATTAGAAGGTGTGGAAATTGCTAGAGATGAAGGGATTTCTTGGCTTTACTAAACTTTTAATATTATTTTGAAGACTAAAAAGATGCCAGATGAGTGGGAATGAGTGTTATTAATCCTATTTTTAGAATAAAGGCGATGCACAGGATTGCACGAATTATAGAGGTATTAAGTTAATGTTCTACTTTAAAATTATGGGAGCGAGTTATAGAAGCATAGGTGCGGCGTGATACTAATGGTTTTCTCAAATCATTTGGATTTCATGCCGGTAGGTCGACTAGGAAGCCATACATTTATTCAGAGGTTTTGAATGGAAAAATATAGAGGAAATAAAGAGGTCTACATATGATATTTATTGATTAGAAAAAGCTTATGATAAAGTTCCCAAGGAAGAAAAAAAAAATGCTATGTGAGATATTTTGATAAGAAAGGAGTCAATTAAATGCCTTATACAAGATCATTAAAGATAATGTAATGCAGGAGCTATTACTATGTGTGTCAAAAACAAGTGGTTTGGCCAAGATTTCCCTATTTCGTGTGGTTTACATCAAGGATACAGCCTTAAGCCCATGGATCTTTGTGCTTGTAGTCATGGATGTTCTCACTATACATTTGCAGATGAATGTACTTGGTGTATGCTTTTGCTGATTGAATATTCTTCTTTGTTGATAAGACTAGGAGGGATTGAAGGCATAACTTGAATTATGGAGGTCCAACTAGAGTCTAAAGGTTTTCGCCTTGAGTAGATCTAAAACGGAATATATGAGTGAATTTTAGTAGTAAATGTCTAGTGAGGGGATTGTGACTTTGGGCGATCAAGCATTAATAGAGTTACAACGTTTTAGATATCTTGGATTATTGTTCAGAGGGAATGGTGAAAATAGATGGGGATATTATCAGCAGATTT